GTCTGTCTGGCAAGCACACGCGCCCTACAGCAAAAACCTCTCAAAAAAAAAAAATATATATATATCATGGAAACAGGTCCTGGGTCTTCATCCAAAAGCCGAGTATGGGGCCCAATGCCACTCAGACCCCCGAAATGTCTTCTCATCGCTCCGTGTGGCTGATCTCCCTGGCAGAGCTGGGCAGCTGACACAGGTAGCCCAGGCCGGATCTGGCTCTGAAGGCACAAGGGGAGACAGAAGGCAGCCATCGGGCCCGACCCGCTCCACCAGCCGCCCTCATTGCTCCAGCCGGAGCCACCGCAGCGCCAGCCTCCTTCTGGCACCGGAACCTCGACAGGCTCACCCCGGGTTTCTGCAAGGCCACCCACTGCCCTGGTGCTGCTTCCTGCCGGGGCCCCTGTGACCTTCCTCCTCCTCCGTCTGCCCTACCTAGCTGCATGCTTCCCCAGGGTGCAGTCACACCTCTCCCACCCTGGCACTGGCATGCTGGGGGGGCTGGGGGCATCTGGCCAGGGCCCCACCTGTGTGAGCCAGCCAGAGGGCTGAAAAAGGCCTACATGCCTGCCCGCGGGGCAGGTTCAGGGCAGGTCACGTCTACCCCACAGCTCTCATGGCTTCCTGCATACTCTCACCATCCTTCCCACCCCACCAGGTGTCATCACAGAGGCAGTAGAGCACAGTGGTCAGGCCACAGGCAGCAGATGAGACAGACCTGGGTTCACATCCCACCCCTGCCACGTAACAGCTGTGACCGTGGTGCACTGCTTGGCTTCCCGGGCCGTGGATTTCTCCAATACGATAGAAGTGACATGGGACTGAGTGAGACGACACTCCTCTGAGAGCTGGGAAAGGCTGGGAAAGGCTGAGCTGCCGGCCGGGGACACAGCCAGCACGAGCCGAGCCAAGGCTGCTCGCCCTGCTCCTCTGCTTCCTCGCCTGCTGCCACTGGCCTCGAAGCACACCATGCAAAAGGCCAGCCAGACAGCCAACCAGAATCCAGGCTACCTGCACCTCTGACCACTCGGGCCCCTCCTCCCAAGTCCGACTGGCCAAAGGTGCAGAGCCCTGTGCTGGAGAGCAGGACTGAGTCTGCCCCAGAGGGCTGCGAGCCTGGTGGCGAGGCGGGCTCACTGAGTGGGAGCAGCCCATCGGGCTGGGGTCTCTCAGGGCACTTTCCTATGGGTGCTAAAGACCTGGATCTTTTACACCCATTTTCAGAAAGATCTCAACACATGCCACAGTGGAAGTGACTCCCTGGGAACCTCCTAGGTTGGGGCACCTACTCCTGGCCTCTCCCTCCCTACTGGCTATCCCCTTGGTCAGGCTGCCCACATCCCTGTTCCCTGTCAGAGAGACGTGCTGGGTGCCCAGAGAGAATGCAGCTAAAGGATGCAGGACCCTTGGGACACGGCCCACGGAGAAACGTGGGCATCCAGAACAGTGAGAGAGATGAGCAGCAGAGGCAGGGTGTGCACACAGCCCTCAGAGAAGGTGTCTGCGGACGTGAGGGAAGGCCAGTGGGCGGGCAGCCTGCAGGAGGGGGCTGCGTGTGCAAGACAGGTGTCAGGAGGTGAGCAGATGGGCTGGCAGCATGGAGCCCCTGAGCAAGCGCAGCAGCACAGGGAGCGATCTAGCAGGAGCCAGCCCCACACCGGAGACTCAGCCAGCTCAGCTCAAGACCGCCAGCCTGGACAGCCAGGCCCCAGGACTGAGATGGCCCAGCCGCTGCACTCTTCCCTGCTTCCTCGCTGAGCCCAAAGCCCGTCCTCTGCACGTAACCGTAAAGCTCCTTCTTAGACTTCGGGCTGGTCATACCTCTCCTGAGGTGCAAGTGCTTCAACGGCCGGCGTGCAAGCTTCCTAAAACCCCCGCCCCACACTGGCAGACCCTGCTCCGGCTTCATCCGCTTCCTCTCTCCAACTTTCCCTGTTCTCAGCAGGCAGACCCAGCACTTTCTCACAGCAGGCTTCTGCCTCGCAGCGACGTCTCAGCGATGCGGGGCTATAAGTGGGGTCTTTGACTAACTGTACAACTCCACGGAGCCATGGGGCAACCGCAGCACCGCTGTCAGCACCGCTTCTTTTCCATAACTCCCATTACCAGTCCCTATGAATCTGTCTAAGGCCGGCAGCCCTCTTCTCCAGACCTGTGGTGGCGGGGAGGGGGGTGTCCCCAGGAGACATTTACCTACGTCTGGGAACGCTTTTGCTGT